GGGCTCGCGCACTGCGCAGGCGCGTCACCGCGGGCGTGCCCTCCGGGAATCGCAGTTCTGGGCCGAGCGTGCGGAGGAAGTGATTGAAAGGTGATGGGGGAAATGGTGGTTTTCTGCTTCTCTTCTCTGAGAGTGTATTTTAGATCCTGTCGCAGGGATACTTATCAAGAGGTTTGCTGAAATCTGCCTAACAGAGCCAGAAAACTGAACATGAAGCGTGTTGAATAATAAGTTATTTTGATTGCACTGTGTTCCAGGCACTGGGCATTAATGCATCCAATGCTTTACAAGCCTGTCTCATTCCAGCTTCACAGTGACCGCCAGAAGTACCGTGATCATTACCTGCAGTTGCAGATGAAGCTTAAAGCAGACTAGCTGTCATCCCAGGTGACATTTTAAACTGTAAAGTCCGTTTGCGTGCACTGTCATGGTAGTCTTGCAACCCTCGGAGAAAGAGAAATATTGTTGTGATTTACAACTGCCCTGGCGGACGACGCAAGATCACATAAATGGGGGTGGTGGGAGTCGGTTTCAGGTCTCCGGACCCTAGATACAGTGATCCCTCTTAGTTCCCCTCTCAGGTTGTAGACGACATAGTCTGAGACCCTGCACTGTAGCGCAGGATTCAAAGTGCCAAGTGCAAAACCCCATTGCTACTAGCCACTTTTAACTAACATTTTAGGCAAATCACTTAACTCCTTTATTACTCAGTTCAACTTTACACCTGTGACATACAGCCTAGCCTAGAGATTCGTGATAAAGTTTAGAAAGTGGATGTTGTAAATTAACTTGGTGATCAAAGATAGGTTTTCTCTTTCACAAATGATCCAGATTTTCATGCATTTCAATTTCAATACAATCAGCTGTCTAAAGACCATGGAAAAACATGTATAGGTAGAAGAGATAATAAATTTTAATCCTTTATACCTCGTACAAGTTAGGTTCATTGTAAAAGGGAAATGAATGTTAGCAAATATCTTTCTTTCCATGTTTATTTTAGCCATATATTTAAAAAATTTAACCCAAAACTACTGACTGCAGTAAACTATCATACTGTGCTTTCCGATTCACTTTTTATCTGCAAACAATGGCTAACCGGATTGCTAAACTGAGTCACTTTATGGCTTGTAACCAAGTTTGATGTTCCTGAGCTCTGCTCAAGTAAGCAAACCACCTAGTTAATGTGCTGAGTCAGTTGTAGCTTCTCAACTTTTGTTTCTTGTCCACTCAGCAACCTGTCAGTTGTATATCCTTTCTACACCATCCCTTGTAAACTTGTTCTGGCAGTGTTTGCCAGTATCCAACAAGTTAGAACAGAAGCCACTTAGTCAGAGTATACACAGCCAGTGAACAAATTACTGACTTAGTACTGCTGTTGGAAAGACTGCTTCATTCTTGGGTTCAGTATCCTTTCACTAGTGTATACTTTGGGAAACTAATGAAATATAATCACATTTCTCTTAGTAAGTTGGAACTGATGGAATCCTATATTTGGAGTAGGCATTCTTAGGTGAAACACCATGTTGAAAAGAATCCTGATAAAGCAACTCCAGCCAGGAGCTAGAACTATGAGACTTTGGTAAATGTTGCTATATGACATTCATTTAAGTACCCTCTAGAATTTGAATGCTAAAAGCTTATTTATGACCCAGGCTAAGGGAGGAGGGACTTGAATTAGCAGGTAGCAATGAAAGCTCTCATCCCAGATTTTCCACTGGGAAATAACTTACTCAACTCCCCATGTTGTCGGGAGTTAAGGATAAAGCAAGTATAAAATGTAAAACACTATATGTTTATTGAATCATGATGTGTGAGTATATTATACAATATCAAACTCAGGATCTGGAGAGATAAGGAATTCCTGATGAACCTGCCAGTTATTAAAAAAAAAAAAAAATTGTGGCCCTCCCTGGTGGCAGAGAGTTAAAGCACAGCACTAAGAAGCTAAAGCCAATTCCACTTGAGTTTGACCCCGCCTGCCCTGGAGGTGACCACATGGCACAGCAGACCTCTCCTGACCCGCCTACTGCTCCCCTCAGCAATGTAGTTGGTCCATCTGCCTGTTCTGCTCCCCACTCTGTCTCTGGTGAATCCACTCACCGCCCCTGCATTTCTGGCCTGTACCCCAGTTCTGTGTGCACAAATAAAATAAATCTTTAAAAAAAAAAAAAGCAATTGCAATATATGCTTTTCAACTTGGGTGGCAAATATATAGATTCCTTTCACACTGTATTTCTATAACATTTAAGTACTAAATAATTAAGATGTAAAAATCAATAGAGAATCTCACATGAAGATGGAGAATTTTCTTAAAAAAATCTTTTTTTATTTATACATACAAGAACTGGGGTGTAAGCCAGAGGTGTTGGGGGTGGTGGTGGTGGTAAGAGTATTCACCAGAATGGAGAACAGAACAGGCAGGTCTACTGAAATAAACTGCTGAGGGGAGCAGCACACGAGACAGAAGCGTTCTACTGAGCCATGTGTGTTAGGTACCTCGCCCGGGATCCAACTTGTTCCGCAGTGGCTGCAGATAGCTTCAGAGTATTGCCACCAGGGAGGCTCTATCCTTAGTTTTACTTGAAAAAAAAAAAAAAAAAGTTATGATTAGAAAAACTGGCCGTATTCCAGAACTCAAATATGATGCCCTGTAGATAGATTCCTTAATAAAATTTTTGAACAGAGATAACAGAATTTGAGGAAATTCCAGCATTTGACTGATTAAACCTTATTTATAACCCAGACAAAAAAGAGGGCATTTAAGATAGCAGCTAGAAAACCTGTTTCAGCACCAGATTTTTTGACTGGGAAGCACTTTACTAAGCTAAAAAAGGCTTAAAGAACAAGTTGAAAGGGTAAAATATCTGTGTAAACTCAAACAAGCAAAGATACTACACAAATTACTTAAAAGATAGAGGGTGCAAAGAATGCTTGGTGGACTTCTGGAGGTAGGGAGATGTATCGTTAAAAACAGGCAAAGGTGGCCCTCCCTGGTGGCGCAGCGGGTTACAGCACAGCACTAAGAAGCTAAAGCCACTTCAGCATGAGTTTGATGCCTGCCCCGGAGGAGACCCACATGGCCTGGCAGACCTCTCCTGACCAGCCCGCTGCTCCCCTGAGCAGTGTATTTGTCAGTCGGCCTGTTCTGCTCCCCACTGTCTCTGGTGATTCCTCTCACCGCCTCTCTATCTCTGGCTTGTACCCCAGTTCTTTATGCATAAATAAATGAATCTTTAAAAATACAGGCAAAGGTGGAGTCTCCCTGATGGCACAAGGGGCTAAGTTTCAGCACTATGAAACTATCTGCAGCAGGATTCTAATCTCCCGCCAGGGAGATGACCCACAAAGCGCATCAGACCTCTCCTGCCTGGCCTGCTGCCTGTCCTGCGCCCCACTGTCTGTAAATCCTCTCACCCCCATCCCCCTCTGCCTGTACTCCAGTACTTGTATGCATAAATAAGTACAGCTTTAAAAAAACTGGTGAAAGTAAAAATGACTCATGTGACTCGAAAAACTGTAGCTCCTCCATGAAAGGTCACTTAAAAAATAGTTTTATTGTCCATTGCTGACAAAGTGCCTTGTACTTGCGGAAGAGGCCCTCTTGGGTGGCAGCCGGTATGACCTTGCTGCTGCATCAGTTCTCTCTCGTATCCAGTTGGCAAGATCCTGTGCTGCTTCTAAGGTCTTCAGACTTCTGGCTTTGGGGTTCACCGAGGGCCACAAAATGAGGCACCAGCGTGCAACCAGCTCCAGGGCAGTGAGTTTCCCCGGACTCTCATACCCCAAGGTCACCCGGCCATCACCCGGCATTACATGGGCTCTACAGGCAACACCCGCGCACACGTTCACCTTCAGACAGTGCTTCGCGGTGCAAGGGCGCCAAGGATCTCGTGGATGACCTCTCCAGGCCCATCCTGGGCAGCGGCCCCTCGACCACCCAGACCCCACCAGGCCCAGTCCAGGCGCGAGCTCACGCCTGCGGGCTGCTGGCCCCCTTCCC